CTGAATTTTGGAGTCTTGGTCAAGTGAACAGGCACACTTTGCCCCAAGCTCCGGCACGGGAGAGCCAGATGCATATGCATCAGCTCCGGCATCCCGGGCCGGCAGAGAAGGTTCACTCCTCAGAAATTTGATTCCGACGGAATCCTTGGCCAGCTCTCTAGATCTTGGCTGCAAGTTCAGTGGACCCGCTGCGCAGGTAGGATTCGGAAAGCGACGCTCAGCCCTGAGAACTCGAAATCCGAGATCCTACGGCAACAACCTCTCTGGCTGGAACTCCGAAATCTAAGCCCTGCAATAATTCAAACCCCAAGCGGGAGTTTCAAAAATAGACAGGCTGAAATAAGGCACCCCTCATGCTAGCGAAACTCCTGAGCGAAACCCCCTAACTGCCTAGACCTGCAAGCAGTCTGGGCTTCGATGCATCTTTGCCCGGTGGTCGCGGTCTGCCTGCGAGTCGGGCTCAAACCTCGAGAAAAACAGATGCAAAACTCGTTTAGGGTTTAGGGATTAGGGATTAGTATGATTTGTAACTATTTAGAAGTTTCAGAGTTTAGTAGAGTAGTTTAGTAGGGGATGGGTTTCGGAGCTCAGACTCCGAGAGGCGAGGCGGCTTTTCCGTCGAATGCCCTGTCGCAGGCTTTTGCCGTCGCTTGGAGGATTCGCTTCTAAAACGTAAGCCTGCGCATCAGCGCACGCGTTACGGCCTGAGGTGAAACGATGCGTGACTGCATTGCTGAGCCGAAACGAGCGAGCGAGGGGAGGGGAGGGGAGAGGGAGGGGAGAGGGAGGGGAGAGGGAGGGGAGAGGGAGCAGCCGCCTGAGCCTTTCGTAGTGGCGACCTGGGCCTCATGGAGCAAGTTCGCCGGCTCTCAGCTGTTTCGAATCGAAGCAGCGCCGGTGAACTTGGCGAGCTCCGGTGACTCCTGCGTGGCCAACGTGCAGCGCGCCGAGCTGCGAGCTGGTTACGCAGAAGGCACCTGACCCAGGTGCCACCGGCAGTAAGAAGTGACGAATGGACCTTGGTGGGGACTGCATATATCCAGTTAGTCTGCATCGCACGTCACAGTCTTTGGGATTGCGTCAGTCCGGTCATCCACGTTTACAACGGCCCCTCTGAATTGACATGCATTGCCGGCGACCTGAGCCACCATCCCCGTCCTTGCGAAGTTGAGGGGCCCAAATGATCCCAAATGACTGTTGGCTGTGCTGGAGCATTACCTTCTTCGAGTTCTTGCAACCCAGTCCACCTCCATATCTCCAACCTTGTATTCTGGATTAGTCCGGCATGGTTACAGCTCCACTCCTCATTGCGCATGTCTGCCATCCACAAAGAACTTTCGATCTTCAAAGCACTGCTAGCATCCTTCTTTGCAGCGGAGCCTTTCCAAATCGCCATGTGAGTTGCCGATGATCCTCAAAATAGATTTTTGTAGGTTCTTCAGACTTGCTAGAAGACTCCTGCAAATCCCCGTGTGAAGTGAGGCTGTGATAGCTGTAGTTTGCAAAGTCGTGCCACACAAAGCGCCTCCAAGCCGGGCGTTCGCTAATTTGCCGGAAGATGGTACAAGGATGTTTCCCACATGGCAATCGGCAATCGTGGAAGAAACGCCGGGCAAACACCGCACGCACGTCGAAGTTGTACCTCCAAAGGAAGATCAACAGCTGCCGAACATGTAACACTCTCATCTGGGCACGCACGCAGCCGAGCGTCTTAGGGAAGACTTCGATTGCAAAGTCCAAGCTACGCCCGACGAACAGGCGGCATGTCGTTGACTGTGAAAACCCCTTGAGATACGAATTGCCTTGTTCCCAATCGCACCCTTTCACGAAAAGCCGTCTCAGAATGCACTTCCCTGGAGGCGATGAAGTGGCGGTTGTATCTAAATCTACGACGGACAACAAGCCATCGAGCACCGCTTTAAACACCAATGTGGTTGGCCACTTGCCTGTAGACAGCTTCTGTTTCTGCAAAGCCTCCTTTGGGATGCACGAGCCCTGCTCTGATGGCAGATGAAACGCCCTTGCATGATCGTGTTTCCTCCACCTCCCGAACCGCGCCCCCGATGTAGTGAGCAATTCCGGAAATTTTCAGGCTGACGGCATTGAGACTGTCTGCACGCAGATCGAAACATGGGCAGCTGCAACAGCAACAGGTAGAGCCGGCAACATCTGTCCAGGGACAATAAGGATCAAGTCCGTAAAGGTTTTCTACTGCACAGGACTGTCTCAGAACAAGCACTCACGAGCCGATGCAGCTGGAGCCAACATGGTTTCACCCTTTTGAACACGAAAACCCCTGAACCTCTCATAGCACCCTTCGGGGAGGGAGTCTCTGGGTGTGCTTGTGCAGGATTTGGGGTCTGGGCCCGTGACGAGAAGTTGGCACAGCAGGGAAAAACACCCACACACACACACACACAGAGAGAGACTCCGAAAAATCCACGTTGCTTGACCCGTGAAAGCCCAGACCTATGTCTCCCGCATCCGCTGGGACGCATGCACTTCGTCCTCGCACCCCGGCCGCACATCGGTCGACGGACCCTGGGCCATGGCCAACGGAAACTCAAGACAGGGCTTCTGTGGCGCTCAGGTAGCTGCAGGATGAGGTCAGTGATCTGTAAGTGACTTGGAATGCTGCCAGATCCAGTTGAGCCCTGGGAATATCAGTGCCGTGCCTGGTTTAGATGCTGTTCGGGTTTTCGTCGTTAAAGCTGTTCCCAGACAGTTGCGTCGAGCATGAGTTGCTACAGCAGCCCTCTCGCTCTCTCTCTCTCTCTCTCTCTCTCTCTGCCGTTGCAGCCCTCTGCGGCCCCGAATTCCGAAACAGGAAGCTCGAACTAACAATCTACTCGATGCCGGGAAGCGGGCGCATGCATCATCGAGAAAAAGATCGCAGGTGTAATCGGTGCACGACGAAACTATAGAGAGCGCACGCATGGGCAAATAAATCCAAAACACGCATGCGGTTGTTTAAAGGTTCAATGCTTGGAAATTTTGCACATTCTCCGGTCAGACTAAGCCGTTCTTGCAATTTAAACTAAGCGGTGAAACCAAAATCACTCCGGCGGAAAACTATGTTACACAGAGAAGCCATGTAGAAACCCAAACCTAAAACTTGCCCTAAGCTCCAAACACCACTCAACGTACCTGAACGGAAACCCAGACAGGAGAATATACCAAGCCCCACGCGAGGGCCCCTCTCTTGTGCGGGGTGTTCACACCAAACCTCTGCTTTCACGCCGAGACAAGGCCGGATTCTACAAGGGCTCCTTAGCCTTAGTTACCATTGCAAGGTCAGAGAAAAGAGACAGTAGAAAGACTCGAGAAGTTCAGGCATCGTACCGGAACACTTGACGCACTCGATTGTGAAGAAACAGTCCCTACTTCTGCCAACGTGAACTTAGGAGTCAGAGTGTAGTTGTTTAGGGACTTCGAATAGCACGACAAGGGTATTACAGAGTTTGCTTTGGGCTTCATTCAAAAGGCCAACACAGGGCTTCGTCAAAACAGGCCGCCGAGGCTTCCCCCGGCTTCGGCTAATTCTCCCGTGGCAGGGGCTTCAATCAATTAGGATGTGGTTTTGGAGTACATGATAGTAACACACAGTAACAGTACACTTATATACTTATACAGTATCTATATGGGATCAGCACTAAGTACTAATTGTTCCGACTCCCGTATTCGCCGTCTTCGAAGTTCGATGTGCCGTCGTAGGCTGAGCTTGCCGCATGTCGGCCTGGGCACAGGGCGTTGGTAAAAGCATGGTCGTTTCCGGCCAAGGGAGTCGGGTCTCGCTGTTCTGATGTGGTGGGGTTCGTTTTTAATTTCTACTGTATGTACCCTGCTGAATCTTGGAAGATTGCAAGTGCATGACTCCACTGCATGCAACATGAGCTGAGCACGTCCAGAAAGAGACTGCCTGCACGCTCACAGTCGTCCCGCCCCAAACTGTGAAAGAGCCGGGGTGAAGATTCGCAGCGGCGAGCCCTTCCAATGCGTCATCATGATCGCAGTTGCGTGCCTTCGCCGGATGAGCAGCAGCTGCAATCCAGAAGGCCAAGCATCTACACAGCAAGTGGCAAAACGAGCTGAACCTACCTAAAGCCACAATGGGGGCACAAACTGTCTACTGTAAGGTTGGGTTTCGATTCATGGCGAAAAGGACGCCCCTGCGGTTAATCAACAATGTGCTGTAGGGAGTGGTTCGGGAAAATTTGCTCTAAAACATCTACGGGTAAACGCCGGCATCTGAGCTAGCGCTGTGTATTGCAAGGCTCGTAGATGCATTCAAATCTGTGAAGACGGCTGCAGGCAAGGCATGCGATGTTGGTGACTCACAGGACACCTCCTATACCTCTTCAAGAACGCCGACGGCGAAGTACCCCTGCTTTTAGTCAAGAAGAAGTAGCAACACTTTGTAAGAAAATACCAGTTGCAGTAGTAGCTTTAACACTGGGTCATGATTAGGACGCAAAGCCGCCACCACCTTGACACCGAACACCGGGGCTGAGAGCCAATCTGAGGGTTCAAGCTTCAGTGTTGGAAGCCTTGGGATGCGCCACTTTGGAATAAACATTGACGCTACTGTTCCTGCCGTCCACGGGGATATTGCAGTCGTCTTTTGCATCCCGACAATCTACGGGCCCAAAATGTGAAGTCCCTGACTTCCTTCCCGAGCACAGTGACTACTCCCTACACTGCGTCAGCGCGCGCAGACTCTATGCCAAAGCTGGGTGCGGGATTCAGGGTTTAAGGAAGGCACGTTTTGGCTCGGCTCTTTGCCGTCTTGGCCCGGCTGCCGCTGCTGCTTTTGAGCGCGAGCGAAGTGAGAGGGACCCTCTGCCATCTGCGCTCGAAATTCGGTCCGAAGACCCAGAACCCGAAAGTCCTGTTCTTCTGGGTGCCCCTGAGCTAGAACAAGCCCCAACTGGTCGGAGAGAGGTGAACCCACTTTTCGAAGGCTGAATCTCGAGCTGCAGGAACTGAGAGTTTGGGCCGTCTCAGGAGGTCAGCTTGCTGCATCTCTCCGCTGAGTTCACATTCATGGAATCCAAGATTTTCCGGAAGCTGTTCTCTTTGCACCAGATAGCCGCTGGGTCCAGTGGCAAGATCATCCTGCTCCGCATGTCGCTCGTGAACCTGGGTCTGCTACGGACAGGCTCTAGGGGGCTCTCGGGTTCCGAGGTGTCGCAGTCCAGATGACGTGAAAGCGGATATCGCCTGGGGCGGCTCTAGTTTACAAGTTCAGCCCCCTTCTCCGAACTCCTAGACTCCAAGAGCTGCTTCCCCAGCCCCTCTGAACCGATGCAGCACTCTTCGCCTTTAGGCTCATGTCCTGGGCCGAGATCTCCTGCCGATACGCGGTGGTTAGTTAACCAAAAGAAGCTCTCCCCGGGCGGATCTGGCCCCTCAAGTCCAAGCGGCTTCATGAAGAGGCCCGGGTCATCGCGTAGTTGGACCATGAAAGCGGGGTCCACGCTTTCGAAGAGCTTCACGCGTGTGTCGGTCATGTTCGCCTAAGGGTCACGGACACAGCGAGCGAACTTGTGACCGGCTCCGGGGTTGCAGTAGTCTTTCTATCGTACTCTTTCTGGCTTGGCGGCTTCCCCTCAGCCACCGACCAGCTCAGTTACGAGTATGTTTTGTGGCTTCGAGGTGGAGTCTGGGAAACAGCAACACCAACCAGGTCGATGCCTTCGGGGGCAGCGATGGGAAATCCAGATAAAAAAGCAAGTCACCATCCAGGTGAAGCCAAGGTGTCCACAGGGATTTCGGATCTGCACACGTGGGCCTCGGCTCAGGATGTTGATTCTTGGCTTCGGCATTGCAGGCAGCCTAATGTTCCATCAAAACCTGACAGCAGCCCCTCAACCCGTTCGTGGAGGCCACCGGGCCTTCTGCCGCTCTGCTACCGGCTCTTGAAATGCTATAATACTGCTATATAAGCCCTCAGGTCCACTTTTTCAACTCTCAGAAGCCCCGTTTTGGAGCGACCCTCGCCAGCCTCAGGAGCACCCCTAACAGAGACGCCCTAAAGGCCCTAAACACCCCCCTGTCAGGTCTCAGAGGCTGTGCCACCAAGTCCACAAGGTCAAGTCCTCGAAGAGTGTCCTGAACCAGGCGCTTCCAGACTTCCAACACTCACAGCACAGCTACACGACTTCGGAAGTCATGCAGCCGACATTTTTTTTGCCATGCACAAGCACGAACTGCCACAGGGTCTGCCAGAGAAAGTCTGACTTCGCTTCTGTCGGAGTGGAAAAGCCAGCTACTGCATAGTCCCGCAGGAAGCAAGACCGCTTACTGTCGAAGTACTAGGCACAAGCTGGTGGTAATGGCAATTGCACGCAATCCACAGGAGAGGACTCGGAAGCCCTCCCACCATGAAGCGTTGAGCAGTTTGCCCCCAGAACGATCTTGGGAATGCACCCGAAGACCGCCACGACTCACCTCTCCCAGCCCTGATAAGGAGTTAGATTAACCAGGAACAAGGCGCATCGAAAACAGGGAGCACTGCGAGAAAATCAAAATCAAAAGACGGCAGCTCGTTTTACGTGCAACCGTCAGAGGACATGTCATCGCTTAGCGCCGACCAAGAAAACAACCCTGCAGCTTACTTCTGCGCCGACTCAACGTCGGCGACCTTGCGAGCAGCACCCTCCGCGTCAGTGTTCGTCACACTGGGACCAAACATGGACATGCATACAGGAAGGAAGATCAGCCCGTGTGAACCACCTGCCAAGACAATGCCAAAGAACATCTTGAAGAAAACGCGGAAAACCTGACTGGCTGAGAATGCCAAAGGCAAGATGGCCAAGAAGGTTGTGCTGACACCCATGAAAATAGGCTGTCCCATTTCCTTCATGGCCAGCTCAGCACGCTTGGCACGTGGCAGCGATCCATCTTGCAGCCCGAAGCTGTGGGCCATGTGCATGGAGTAATCCACGACCAGTCCCACAGCCATGACAAGGTTAATCATGGATTGATTCATTCTCGGTCTCTCCCGACCCCTTCGGCACGCGCAAGCACGCACCGCAGGCCGAGAGTCCTGTCTGTCACGTCTGGTCGTTGTGAAAACGCAGCCCCAAGTCACAAGCACCGAAAGACTGTGCAAGGCGGAGTGACGGGCCCCAGAGAGCGAAAGACGTAGCTTCAGCTCCTCGCCTAACCCCTGACCAAAAGCAGGGAAAAGCAGCAGAGAAGTTTTCACTGCCGAGCACTGCAAACGAAACTAATTAAGTTGCGGCTGCTCAGGTGGCCTCGTCGCAGGAACTCACGAGTCGCACCGCCGCCGCCAGTAGTGGACGGCGTCCGCGAAGTAGGAACGAGGCAGCCAGCCAGTTGCTAACAGCTGCCCCAGAGTGCAGTCCAAAGACAGAGTCGTCCCAGCCAGCCTTCCACAAGCCAGCCTGGAGTCGTCAGCAGTCAAGTGCAGCGAGGTGCAGCACGACGAGCCGACTAGGTCGGAGCCACAGCTGCTGCCCGGAGTCTCCGAGTTTCCGCCTTCACCTTTTCCCCAAAGAGGTCTCCCGCTTTGGCAGAGGCCAAAATGGCCCGTTCCTCCCACTGAGCAGTCTGAGCCGCCAAGTTGAGCCATCCGACTCGCAAAGAATCAGCACGGCGGCGTTCCATGGTGCCTCTTGCATGCTCATCGGCCTTGTCGTTGAGCAAACGACAGAGCGCCGAAGGCAAAGGTGCCGGAGCGCACCAGTCGAGGCGTTTCCCGTGCGACGGGCACCAGAAGAGTCGTACTTGCCAGCCAGCCCTCTGCAGTTCTTTACTCGTCGCAGCAGCACACGAAGCCAGAAGAGGAAGCGACGACGCCTCCGGGTCCTGCAGGCTCAGCAAAGCTGCCTGACAGTCGACAACCACCCACAGCACCCGAGGAGGTAGCCCGCGTTGGTTCGCCAAAGCCACCGCCTGGAAGAGCACCTGCAAGGCCTTGAGCTCGTTCCTGAAAGCACCTTGGTCTTCAGCGCCGTCGCCAGAGCCGCCGCCTCGTCCTCCTGGTAGTGCCACGCTGTAGGCTCCCACTCCGTCTCGGTGTGAGCCGTCTGTCGCCGCGATGAGCCACTGCTCATCCGAAACCTCGGGGGTGGTCAGCTCGAAGTCCTGGAAGCCAAAGTTGCCTCCGCGGAGCTGCTCCACTTCAGCAGCAGCCTGACGCACTTCCTCAGCAAGAGAAGCAACGAACTCCTCCTCATCACTGCCCGGTGGGGGTGGCGGCCACTGAGGAAGTCCTCGAGCGTACAGTCTCTCCTCAGCACGGTGGACAGGAGCCTCCAAGCCAGATCGGCACTGCGCTGTGGCTTCACAGGCCCACGTGAGGTGGGCTCTGGACGGCGCCTTTTGACCACACAAACAGACACACCGAGGGTCGTCGAGGTCAACTTTCTGTCCTGCTGTCCAGTACCAAACCGAACCGCCCGTGGCAGCAGCGGCCCGCCGCTGAGACTGTGAAGTGGCGTAGCCGAAAACTTTGCGGTGGCCCAAGAAGTAGTAGTCCTTGACGCCCGGCGCAGGCAAGTCGAGGCCGGTCGCGAAGTCCTCCTGCCTGTGGTAGCTGCAGTTGACACGTCCGCAGCGCCGCATGAAGACCCGGCGGTACTCCACGCGCAGCCAGTCCTCAAGCACCTCAAGAGACTCCCAGCCGAACGAGAAAGTGCGCAACCTGCCAAGGTCGTCGACCCTCTGCAGTGCCTGGCCGTTACGAACTACAGTCCAGCCTAACCTCGCTACAGCCTGAACCGCCACTGGCAAGACAGTCTGCCAGCTCTCAAAAGCCTCGGTCAACGGGGCTCGGTCTCTCCACCCTGGAAACTGCGTGAGTTGTCTTGACACAGCCTGAAAAGCCGCCATGTCACAAGCAAACGAAGGCTCCGACCGCCAACCCAAAAGCTCATGGATCAAGATTTTCGGGGCTTCACGAAGGAAGTGGCTTTTGAAGAGGGAGTAGAGCTCGTTGGCCACGAGCTTCAAGTCCGACTCTTCCGGTTTGGCCACACCGCCCGCCCAAAAAAGAGCAGAGGACACCAGAGCTGTCACCAGGAGTCGAAGAAGGCCCAAGGGGGCTCCTAGTCGTCGAAGGTACCTGAGTCGCCACCGGACTTTTTCGAGGTTGAGCTTGAGCGGAATGCAACTGAAAGATTCCAGGTGGAAGCGAACTCCGAGGAACTCGAGGGTGTGTTCACACGGGTAGCCTCGTTGCCGCATCAAGGGCACCAGCTCAGTCTGTTGAGGGTGATGCGCCAAAGCACACTTCTCTGGTTTGCACTGAAGACCCAAAGCGCTGTCGAAAAAATCCGAACGTTGCAAAGCCGTCCTCATCGACTCCTCCGCCGCGCCTGTCCTCGAAGTAGGCCACAGCAGTCTGTCGTCGATGTACACCAGTGACTGTATCTCCGGCGTGCGGAGAACGCTGTAAGAGGCCCAGGCTTGCCCCACCAACAGCGACAGTAACGGGCTGAGCGGGCAGCCCTGGATCACACCTTGGTTGACGGTCACGAACTCGGGTGAGGTGAACTGCTCCACTCTGAAAAGTCGCTTTGATTGGCGATAAACCGCGCTGACGATCCTACTCAAAGCCGGCGGTGCCCTGTAATGCTCGAGCAAAGAGAGCACGACCTCCAGTTTGAGGCTGTCAAAGAAGTGTGACAAGTCCTGCTTGACGAAAGCACGGCATCCCCGTTTTTGAGCACCAATGAGCCGGAGGTGAGAGTCCGTTACCCCCACGCCCGCGATGCCACCCATGGCTTGATGAGTGGTCCACGATGATACCCAACCTCTCAGTTGCCTCACCAAGCACCGTGCCCCCGCTCGCCACATGATGGCAAGCAGTCCCACCGGCCTGGTTCGCCCGTCCGGTTTGGGCAACAAAACGACCAAAGCCGAGGACCACGATTCTGGCAACACACCCAGGTCTAGCGCCCGGTTCCAAAGGCGTGCAGCTGACTCCCAGAAGCCCAACGGTAGAAGCACCAAATCGGACGCCTCCCACCCATCTGGACCTCCGGCCTTTTTGATCATGCGCTTGGCGGCCCTGCGAAGGCCCTCGGCGGTAATTTGAAGTTCAACCTGCATGTCAACCGGACGGGGTAACTCAGCCAACACTTGTCGTAACGAGCTGGAGTCGAAACTGACCGGGGAAGGTTGCGTCCAAAGCTTTTTCCACACCTCACTTTGTTCACCCAAAATCTGGGTTGGATGAACAGCCGTAGCCGCCTTAATGTCGCGAGGCGGACCGAACACCGCCTGAGCATGATCCGCCTTGCGCTTGACCCATGCACAACACTGAGCAAACGACTTATCGGTGCAATGCCAATTGTCAAAACGAGCGGTCGCTTCCTGCTGTTCGTACTGCTGCACTAAACGAGTTACGACTGCACCTGCCTCCGCCAAATCGTCGCTGAAGTAGGGGAGCTCCGGCACCAAACCACGGAGCCCGCTGAAGGAAGCCACGATGTTTCGCCGCAAGCGTTCGTCACCAGGTTCGAGGTAAAGTTGACGAAGTCGTCGAAGAAGCCGCCGTAGCCCACCAAGTCCACGGGATTCTCGAGGAGGTCGAAGATGCCGTCGAAGGTGATCCGAAGGTTGCGGAATGGGGTCAAAAGCCCGAGGCTGGGCAGTGCCCGGGCATGCCCCCAAAGCTCTCTCCGCGGTTGCCGACAAGTAGCCCCACGCCTCGTTGAGGCGATCTTGCTGCAAACAGTGGTTGAAGTCAGCCTCGCACCAGTACGACTGAAACAGGGCTTCCACCGTCTCCGCACAACGATCCTTGGCAAAGGGAGCTCGAGGGGGAAGTCGATGCCCGGCGAAGTAGATGTCGAGGTCGAGGGTGTATGCCACCGCCACGTGGTCCCCGGGTCCCTCCATGTGCTCAATCGCTGTTGCGGCGATGGCCGGATGGGCCACCGCAAAGTCTATGCGCCTCGCTCGAGTGGGCGAGGTGGCCGGGAGAACACCATGAAATGCATCGTCCAAGCATCTCAAGTGCCCTGTGGAGATCAAATTGTCCAGTGCTCCACCCTCGCCTCGCTGCCAATTGAAGTCACCGAACAGCAGGAATCGACATCGCAACGGCTTGACAATCGCGAGGAACTCCTGCACCACCTGATCCGTGCTCTCCCCATCATTCGGGAAGCCATAGACGGCGCCCAGCACCAAATGCACGGGCTGGCCACCTGACTGCACCTGGACAAGCGCCGCCGCAACCCTAGTAGCAGCCAACGAGTGAGGCGGCATGTGAAGGGCGCGGCCATGCAAAGTCGTGACCAAGCCCACTCGCCGCCGGTTGGTGGGAACTTCGGGCCTGGAGAGAAAAACCTGAGCCCCCGCCTGCTTCCACGCCGTTGTGTACCTTGGCACCTCGAGCTCAGAGATGTCGAGCTGCTGCAACGAAAAAGCATCCGCAGGAAACTGTTGCATGAAATCAAACGTGTCAGGAAACTTACTAGCCCCCGCCCTATCAACATTCATAGTGGCGACGCTGACGGTCATGGCTGCACATACTCACCTCGAAGAACAGTCCGAGCCTCCTGGAAAATCGAGGAAAGCTTGGCATCATCAAAACCATGGCATTGTTTGTTACGACGACACCAGGTTTCCAAGCTTCCCAGCCTTTTGAGGTTAGACTTGCGAACCTTGCAAGCCTTGTCACTGGAGCACGGTTTCGGATGATAGCGCGAATTTTTGCGATGAGCCGGCAGATCCTTCCGATACTTGAAGCACTTGCCACAACGATCACAAGCCCAAGCAGTGCGAAACTTGACAGTGCGGATGGTCTCAGTCTTTTTCACGCACACACGCAGAGGCCACGTGAACTTACGAAAACCCTCGGCCTGGCGCTGGATGTCCTCGCGGAGGTGCTTGGCGACGAAGTGGTTCATCTTGGTGACCCGCTGAGCCGAGACGTTCAGGCCCCGAATGTTGCAAAGTCGCTTCCACCTCTCATCGGAAACCCTGGGG